AATAACAGGAGACCTTGAAACCAGTGTAAAAACTCTGGTCTTGTGGCTTCAGCATTTTGCAACAGATCCTAAGGGATCAGGCATACAATCAATAATGTAATAGTGGTCCTAAATCAACAAGCACCATTTAGAGGGGCACCACAATGGTGCCCCAAAGGAGCCTGTTCCACAACAGTAGTGGTCTATGTACAGAGAGCCTGTGCTAGAAGAGTGGCTTGTATGTGGGTAAATTAAATTAAAATAACACTCTCCAGTGCTTGGCATCCCCTTCCCCCCTCCCTAAGATGCCAAAATTTGCACACATCTGCATGCAATACACTATTTATTCTGGCACAAGGGAAACTCCACTAATAAGATTTCCTCCTTTTCCGTAGGTTCTGTCCCTGGTACTAATTGATATGAAACTGGGCTATTTTTAGTTACCTGCTTTGATTAGTGTCTAACCCATGTACCAGAACACAGGGATTTAGGATTCAGATCATACAGCAAAAACACCAGAGCCTTCTTTAACAAAGGGATGCCTACCATCTAAGTAAAAGAGGGTCATAATCTCTCTTTTCTTAACTGAAATTTTTCATCTCTTCCTACTAGAATTGTTCGGCTATAAAATTTAAGCCAAAAGGATGATGCTTCAAGAAAGAGTATATTAGATTCCTATGGTATGCATGCATTTTTTTAAAATTATTATTATTTTTTAAATTAAAGACAATCAGAATAGCTGCAGGACCAGATGGTGTATGCCATATCTTTCAAGGTCCTTTAGGAATGACTTGAAGATTTTGTAGCTTTTGCCTCTGTGTCTTGCCTTACCAACCAGTATGGAGATTTTTACATAAAATTTAATTTTCCAGTAACAATGAACATAAACTGCCTAAGCTGCATCAATTTATTCAGTATTTATGGTAATAGCAATGATCATAATGAGATCATTTAATATTAATATTCATTACACCAAACAAACATAAATCAAAGTTACCCAAAGGAAAAAGAAAAAGCTAGACTCAGACCATTGGACAGATTGAACTTGAAAGTAATCACTGTGCAGTTCTTGCAACTGACATTCATCTGTGCTTAAACCACACTGAATAGAAAGAGTACATATTAATGGAGCTATAGTGCATTTTGTTTTAAATCTACATGAAGGGTCAGTGGTGGAACAATCAATATATTGAGGATCTAGTCTCTATGGAATATTCTTTTATACAAGATATTAAATCTTCTGCATTACTGCAGAGCAGAAAGCACAACAGTTTATTTCAGGGGAAGGAGGAAGGAGAGTGGGGAACACCTTTTTTTTCTATGGCTACTGTGTACAATGAGTCCTGTTCACCACTAAGCTGCTCTAGCAGTGCACTAATATTGCCCTATTGCAATCTGAATTGACCTATATTTGCACACATGCCTGCGTGGCTTCTGGTTGGTAGCTTTTACAAATACATTTAAGACATGTGGCATTTCTAGGAAGAGACTGAATTTTATTTCCTGACCCAAGACATTGAATATGGCTCAGGGTTATAAAGGTTAATTAATACCCCCGCACATGACAGAAGTCAGTCTCCAGTGATTCCAACAGCTGGTATTCTATATTAGTTGTACATTCTTCAGCCACATCCTCAGCTGTGAATGGAGCCCCTATGGAGTATAGTATGCTGCAATCAGGGGATGTGAATACTGGATGCAGGCTCCCTACCCGCTACCTCAATGATTACCTGGCCCAGAAGGCTTGGCTCAGAGTATGTAAACCACTGGAAAAGCTGAATATCAGGAGTAGTAAAAAACCTCCATTTCTACATGATATGGTAGGGAAATTCACACCAGTACAGAGCTATGGAGATAAGGAGAATGAGCTACTGTCATTAAATTGGATGTTAAAACCCCCACTGACTTCAGCAAAAAGGATCACAGTCTCACACCAAGATGGGAAACTGAGAGTGATTGTAAGAGATAAGGAGGAGATGGAGCCTCTCCTTGTGGCATTCAGAATGACTAGGGCCCCATTCCTGCACCCACACGGAGCCCCAAGGGCTTCAAAGGACCCACACCTATGTATGCAGCTGCATGACTGGGATCTTAGGCTACATTAATGCTATAAAAAGCCACTTCAATTTTTTAGATAAATTCACTTGGACTGTGTTTTGTGTTTACCTTCCATGCATAACCTGGCAAGCGTGCTGACTGCTCAAACAGCACATTTAAGAGACTATCTCAGAACATTCACAATGTTTTCTTTGCTGGAATTAATTCCCTGAGCTCAGACCAACTCCTCTGTCAGGCTGGCTCTGAAGATAGATGGGGAAGGCAGCTACTGAAAATGGAGGTGCCATTTTCACATCAGTACTTTTCAGTTTAAATTGGCTCTGATATTAGCAGTATTGCCCTTTTCAGTATGTTATGGGTGAAGTAAATACCGTGGTGCCTGTATAGTAAGGGCCCCATATATCTCCTCACATCAGGGTAAATGCTGTAACTCCAGTCCAGTCAGTGGAGTTCCTCCTGATTTACATCAGTCCCTATATGAGAGCAGAACTAGATCTTAAAATGTGCAGGTACCCACTGTCTTTTTCTTCTCACAGTTTCATTAGAAGTTGGCAAAAATGGAAACAGAACCTCTCTGGAGGAAAATGAGAGTAAAATGAACTCATTTCAGCTCAGCATGAGCATTAAACATGAGTTCTAAGTCTAGGCTGGCAGTGACTTTAAGAAGAGAAGTTGCAAGTGGAACTGAACCTCAATTACACACTTTTGTTGATGACTAAAATAAGTTCCATGTATCTAATTAAAAACAATGGCAGAATATTTAAAATATGCTGACATTTTAGGAGGGGGTAGATTTTGGACCTCCTTTTTGTCGATTAATTACCACCTTATGCCATGAGAAACAGAATGACTTTATGCAGAATAAGGTACTTTGGGTGGCAGTATCTAGATGTAGCACTGTTCTGCTCTTTTACAGATTACTTTTCATAAGTACTATTTATTGCCATTCATGTGCAATGTGATCAGTCTATTCCCACTCATAAATCTGGAACAGTCTGGACTATAGAGGATTCAAAAGAATATTTCTAAACCACAAAAAAAAATGTTTCCCTGTCAATCAAAATATAGAAGTAAACAATAATATTGATAGTTATGCCATATTCTTGCCAAATTTACAGTCCAGTTTTATTCACTGAATACACTTGGACAGTTTGGCTCAGCCTCAGCTATGGCTCCATAAATAAGTCTCTAAACAATTATCCTGATTCAGGAAACCATGTAAGCTTATGCTTAGCTTTAAGCACATGCAGAGGTTCCGCTCAGTTTCATTAGGATTCCAGCATATACTAAAATATTTCCTTGAGTTAAGTACTCTTTCTGATTTGTCCCTCCACTGTGATTCTTCCACTGTTAGCCTTTATAGACCTGATTAAATACTTCTAATTCCTTTGCATTTGAAGCCTTACTTCCTTGCTTTGGTGAAAACACTTTTTTAAAGTGTAAATCTCCTGTTAGACCAGCAAAGCCAGTGCACTAATGGAAAAAGGAAGAAGGTATGGTCCCATGACTAGGCAGGTAGCCAGCAGCTCAGGAGCCATGGGTGGGTTCAGTTCCTGGCTCTGCGGTAGACTTCCCTAGTGACCTTGCATGAGTCACTAACCCTCCTGTATCCCATCTGTCAAATGGAGATAACAGCATGTCCATACCTCCTTGGAAGGTTGTGAGAAAAAATACATGAAAACTTGGGAGGCACTCAGACAACAGGGGAATAGGAGCCACAGACAGGAGAAGCAGCTAGATTCCAACCTGCCTCATGGGCTAGGGATAGACATTACACAGAAAATGGTGTAAGTGATCACAAGCTGGTTTAAACCTGTAACAGAACAGATGCTCAGTGCACATAAACTAGTTTGAAAATGGCCGAAACTGGTTTGAGATAAACCTGGTTGAATGTAGTATCAGACTTAATTGATCTGGGTCAAACCAGTTTATGCAATATCTGTCCCAGACCCCTTCCTGGTTTAAGATAAACCAGACACCCCAAGCATTCCGGCATGTTCTTTGGGTTGGGTGGAGCACTCTGCTCCAAAGCAGGGCTGGCCCCTCCCCTCTGCTCCCTTGCTGCAGCTTGGCACAGACTGCAGGCGTCCCTGCTCCCCCCTCTCTTCCCCATCCCCTCTGCCTTACAGACACCTCTCAGCATTAGCTATCAGATCACATGATGGCTATGGTCTGTGCTATGGCAGACAGAACAAAGAGAGAATCAACAGGTAGTTGGTAATGTCCCTCTGTTGTTTTTTTAATGAGGTGATAAACACTGAGTTAGGGCTGATAAACGCCATTATCAATTCCCTGCTGGGCTGGTCAGAAGTGGAGGAACACCTCCTAATCAGAGTGTCCTGCCAGGGCCTGGCCATGGCCCCCCTCAGCTCAGCCCTGTACAAGGGAAGGGAGGGCTGCTCTAGCACCCCTCAGCTTCTAGTGTGAGCCACTGCGGAATATGCCTGCATGTTTGGGATGTCTGTGCAGTTACAAAGTGATGTAGCCCAGCCAGGTTACACTAACCTGCAAAGATTGAATCAATTCAGGCTCAGGCTTTTTGAATGTCTCTCCCTAGCCCTGATGCTCCAACAGGATTGTCCACAACAAACCAGCTGCCCTCAGTTACACCTGTATAATCCCTTTCAAGATAAAGAGGTTGCATGGGTTTCCATTAAGGAACACTCAGAGCAATAGGATCTTTATTCCTGGCCAGGAGGAGGCAAAATCCAGAAAGAATGCAGCTTAACTTTACAAGCCCCATTTGAGCTTTCAGTCAACTGTTCAAAACATATCTTTTCTCACTTCTGAGCTGTCCTATTCATTTGGAATTCACGAGATGCAATAAACAGGGACCCAGTGATGCCATTTTTATAGTCACTCTCTAGACACTTTAGGCTTCAAGTTTGCAGAGTAACTCAGGATTATGTTTGACTAGACTACATAATATTCTCTCCATGCTTTTTAGCAGAGGTTGCTCTTACCCTGTTGGAGTCAATTCTTGCCCTGGAAGTGTAGATGGGAGGAGGGATGTTAAACGCTTGTGGAACAAGATATTCTTCAGCATCCATCATATCTTCCAGGTCCTCCTCATCCAGTAGATTTTGGAAGAATTTGCTGTCATTAGGGCTTGGAAGCTTCATACGATCATCACCCTGAATGTATCCCATGATTTGGAGGAAGATAACAAACGGATTAATTAATTCTCTGGGCTGGGGCACTCACCCTTCATACACCCTCTCCATCACAACACAAAACCAACAAATATTACTTTTCATGTGCAATGTCACTATGGCTGCATAATTTATTTTGCTGGGAATCTGCTGACAGAAAGGGAATAACTATCTAAATTACACCAAACAATTTTGGCACTCCTGTTATTGAACTTTTTTCTTTCTTCTTTAAAGCAAAACTCAATGTGTGACCCAGTTGACCAGCTTCTGACAAGGCTTGATGTATTTGGAGAAATATTTGAGATATTAATGCTCACACAGAAACAAAGAATGACATGGAAACTGCTGGGTCCTTTTGTATGCTTTAGGTTTTTTTTGTTTTTTCTTTTCCATTTGTGCCTTTGAGATCTCATGGGACTAAATTTCCCTCTTATCTGTGGGGAAGGACATAAAGAATTTAATAGGGATAGAACCAAAAGAAACTGAACTGGGTTAGAATAAAACAAACAACAAAAATGCTACTGTGTTGTAGTAGCACCCAGGGTTCCCAGTAAGGGATCACAGTCCTACTGTGCTAGGAGCCGTATAAACAAAGATCAAAATTCTGCTTATATTATAGAAACTATGAAAACTAACATAAATTAAAAGTGAATGACAACAACACTGGAAACTTACGTCTTACTGTAGATCATAAATGATAAAAATATCTCTTGTAGAGAATCGTATAGGTTGGTTAAAAAATGCCACAGAAAAATTATCATTCCTGATTACATTATTATTGGGCTTTTTATGAGGGCAGTGATATTACTGAGTGTAGAGGAATATTTAGCCTTTACGGTCCAGCCAGGCCACAAAAGAAGCCAGATGGCTGGCGTAAAATGGTAAAATATGGTACTCTTCAAATTATGTAACAAAACCCCTCAAGAATTATATTAAAATATAATGAAAAGAAGTGTAAGGAATATGGGAAAATATTAGCCAGTAAAATCAATTAAAATTTTTTGGGGCTATAGCAATTTTTTAAAGCAGAACTCCCCTTTCAAGTCAATAGGGAATACTGTTAGAAAAAGGACACATTCTGGTGCCATTACTCATGCTGACTACTATCTAACTGCTCAAATAGTCCCCACAAGATTGTTCAAGGAGAATAAGACTATCAGAATCTGGGTCAGATTGATTTCATGATTTGGCCTTTGGTGTTTAACAATTATTTTATTGATGTTGCTATTTGTAATCACATTTCCTTTTGTATTGCTCAGGCATTACAGTGATGGAGACCTTATAAACTGACTTCATAGAAAGATGGATTCATTTCCTTTGGCTTGAATCTAAATTATAGCCCCAGTGCTTAAAAACGTGTCAACATTTTTTTCCCAGGGAATCAAGCATTAGTGTATTGAATTCTTTGAATGAATGTCTTCAGTAAAAAGAAGAAAATCCTCCTTCCTTGTGCTTTTCAGTTTGATGGGGTAAAATCTGATAAAAACCACAATGTAAGAGAGAGGATGCCAGCCAAGGACTGGATACTGAGAGGCCTCTATCAGGGGGTGGGGACAGGGAGTAATCATCTCACTGATGCTTGAGCTATTTTGCAAATTGGTAGCACCGTAACATGAAAATTATTGGTGAAGCTCATTACACCCACATACGAGATTCAGGTTCCAGGCCTCATAGAGGATCTGGAAAGCAAAATCCCATATATACCTGGGCAGGTCATCAGAGATTAGCAAGCTATAGCAAATACAGAGACTTAGGGCTCTTTCCATTACAGCCTTGTGTGCAGACCTCTAAGGTCAGGGCAGATAACTTTCCTGTATCACATAAGAGGTGTACATAGGCAGCTGCTATGAACACAGTTTCTCTAGGCACTGACTATTCTCAACCGGTGATGAAGGCCTTGTACTTGACTTTCCTGCAGGCAAATTTCACTTTACTAGAGTTTCCTTCTGATTGTAATACTAAATACAGTTCTCTGCTTTAAGTATTTTCTACACTAATACCATGCTATAACTTCAACAGAAGTTGCTTGGCACTCACTGCTTTGGAAAAATTAGACCATCTTGGTATGGGCCTAAATATGGATCTAGGAGCTGAATTTCAGGTGCTCATTTTGTCAAATCTTGGCATAAGCCTATATTTTCAGCTATTTTATAGTATTACAATCACTTCAGTTCTCTGTTAGTGGTGATGCAAGACCTGCTGATGCACATTCATCAGTGTCATAGCTCTATAGGCAGAATTAAAATTATTTGCAGATGTTCAGAATTGCTGACCTGAATAACCAGGTATCTTTGAGGGTCTCGAGCCATTCTTGAAAATTCAGCAGCCAGCTCCTTGAACTTAGGCCGACTGTCAGCATCAATCATCCAGCCTAGGAACAAATGTAAAGAATAAAAATTGGTTTATTAAGAACAAGAAAATTTATTCAGTGCTGAATAACCTGAAAAACAATCCCACGTTTGAGATGTAAAGTTGTCTTTGATGTATTTAGTCAACAGAAAAAAACAGAGTTAAAGGGTTCAAGAAACTTGGGAAGAAAATAATACACAATGCATCTAAAATAGAAAAAAGCCTGATCTTTTAGTTAATGCACTAGAGATGGGGTTCAATTCCTGGTCTCTAATTTATTTTCTTCTGTGACCTTAGGCAAGTACCTTCAATCCTTAGTGCCCCTGTTGCCTATCCCTAAATGGGAACAATAATACCACCTTTCCACCCTTCCCTTGTCTGTCTTGTCAAATTATTTCTGATTATGTCTTACTAAGGATCTGTACAACCCTAAGTATAATAAGGTCTTGATCTCAACTGGGACCCTTTATGCACAATCAACATGCTGCCATTGTGTCAGATAAAACAACCTTTTTCAGCAGATCTACTGTTTCTAATATCTCTGATTATAAAAGCTGCTAAACAAATCTGAAAGCCCTCTTCATTATGTTTGCTTCTTCACCTTTCAGGTAATTCTGTATTAGAGCTTACATCCTCAATACTGCTGCAAGCATAAGCCTTGCTGATGGCTACTGCTATTATTGAGATCACTTCATCTCAGCATACAAGGACACTTCTTACAAGTTCTTCCCCTCATTCTTTCAGAAAAGTCCATTAGGAAAAATAGCATTCCTTTTCAATGTCTGCTACAAAACAAACCAATGGGTGTATTCTGCACAGCAACAGCAGTCACTTTCTCTCAGTGCTAGCCTTTCCTAATAAAAGATACTGTCAGCAGTTTTCAAGGAACTTGTCTTTATTTAGCAGGAAGTCTAAATGAAGTGGACTGTATCTCTTTATAGTCCTATTATGATGAAGTGGTGACCAAGAAGTAAAAAAGCTAAGACTTTCTTAGCATGTAGGATATTTTGTAAGACAGAATACTCAATCTATTTGCATCTTCTTTTAATGCTGTAGAATGCTTCTTAACCATTAGAACCCACATTCTGTTTGAATATCCTGATGCTTGATCCAAATGAGAAACTTTCCCAGTTGCTCAGCTGTTCTAATCAACTACTCCATTTATAGGCTCTTGTGTTAGATAAGTAGTGTCCAACCCATGGCACATGGGCCACAAATGGCACAGGCAGCTTGTGTGTCTGGCACATGAAGCCTGGGAACTGAGTTAAAGGGGACACTGGTGATGGAAGCCAGGGTGGTACTTGGGGAAGGGAAGGGGATAAGGACTGGAGTGGCATTTGAGGAGATCTAAGTTGAGGGTCATTGTTGGTTGGAAGGCTTAGCCTTGTGGGAACCGTGGAAGTAGGTGCTGCCTAGTTCAGTATTGCCATGTCCCAGTAGCAGCGGTAGTAGGATTCAGTGGTACTGGGTAGCAGCAGTAGCTGATTATTAGAGTGGCACTGTTTCATACTTTGGACTTAACTTATGGCACACTTGCCAAAATGGTTGGCACCATTATGTTAGAGGATGACATCATAATCCAATGCTCTCCTCTTTTTTTCCCCATATGTAGTAGGGCTATTAATTGCTGTGAGCCTGATTCTGCTTACTCATAAGCAAAAAAACTTATGCACATCAACATGCCAGCTATCAACAGGACTGTTCACAGACATGAGTTTTATTCAGCCTGAATAAGAAGCACCAAATTAATTTCTAGGGGAGACGTGATATATTAAGGGGAATTAATCTATGGAGGACAATGCATGTGATTTGTATAAAAGTAATATTTGAGCCACAGATGATCAAAGGTTAGAAGGGATAGGTTGCCCTTGAATCAATGTTGTGCAAGATAAATGAACAGGTCAGTATATGTTGAACAAAATTCCCTCCACTTATCCCTATTTAAATTGTTCATGTGTATAAATTTTATCCTAAAGGTAACAGACTGGTGTGCTGGAGACTCAGATCCTATTTACCTACTTATCACGTACAGTATATAAGGCTGAAATTCATATTACCCCCCAGTGCTCTATCAGAGTACTTCAAACCTAATATCATGCTTGGCCAATCTGCCTGCAGTCTCAAGGAGGGACTCTCTTAATACAAAGGGTTAAGATTTTTATGATGTATACACTTACTCACTGGGAATTAGATTTAAACTATTAAACTAGCCTAACAGAAATCACCAAACATCCCTGTACTGTATATGTGGCAAACTTCCATCAGTAATGACTAGTGATGGATTCAATCTGGCCAGTTTAGGGGTGAAACGAGACTATATCTCAATAGTGAATTCTTGTGTGATATAGTATACCCATGTAATGTTACAAGACACATGTTGGAAATGCAAGTCTGACAAGAGAGATGTCCCAGGTCTCTTATTAAGCATATATATTTGCCTCCTTCAGTTTAATTTCTTTGTTCTCACTTTTTGTGTTTGAATTAAAAGGAAAAGGCCCATGTCAGATGGATGAGGCGGCTGTATGTTAATCTCATTTAAATTAAGTCAGGAAGACCACAGAGACATTTCTAATTCTTTTTAAATTAGAAGCCTCAGCTTTGAGGATAACTTTTCTAGTATGAATGTGCTGGGGGAAAGGGTGGCAGGGTATGTGAGAAGCCAGATGCACGCTATTTTCATCTTGTGCTAAAATACAAGGGGTATTGGATGTGACTGGGAACACTAACAAAAATAAATCCTCAGCTAGACTTCTTATATCAATTCAGTTTCTTTTTAGTAATAATAATAAAAATAGTAAAAAAAGTAAGGGTTTCTTTCCTCAATGATTGGAATAGTGTTCTGGAACCAGTTTTTCCCCTTGCACCCCTCTCTACCTAACTACCTATGTATTTTAATTATATTTAATGTTATCTTTTTAACATCAAAATAATTGTCATGGAAATGACAAGGGTTTACAATAACAATCATACAATTTTGACTTCATAGCAAGGATGTGAGATACCATCTGACAATAACAAGAAGCTGAGATAACGCAAGCCTTCATGGTTAAATTCATATCCTTTACAATTGCAAAGTGTGCATGCAGTGTTCGAATGTAATTTACAATATATTAGGAAGCTCTTGTTCTGCATTATTACCCAGTACTGCTAGTGACTGCAGATGCAATGGAGTCGGGTTCTGCTAGCACTAACCCTAATAAGTTTAAAAGCAACAATTACTCACATTTCACCATCACCATGTAAACATCAATGGTGCAGATGGGAGGCTGAGGCAACCTTTCCCCTTTCTCCAACAGGTCAGGAATTTCCCGTGTTGGGATTCCATCATAGGGCTTTCCACCAAAAGTCATAAGCTCCCAGATAGTAACTCCTGTGGAGGGGAAAAAAAGAATTTAAGACTATGATCATGTTCTTTTAAGTTCTAAAAAATGCCTTGGAGAGTGTATGTTAGTGACTCAATATTGGATTATAATGTGATGTAGACAACTGATTCATTCCTAGAATTGGTGCACATGAAAAGTGGATATAGCTTGTTCAGATGTGTGTTGGATTCACCATCTAAAGAGCACTGGAAATCTGGGAAGGAATTTCTCTTGTTTTTATTGGTTTAACAGAATGCATGACAGATAGGAGTAATAGAAGAACAAACAGCCTAGAAGAAATACTTGGTGGGAAAGTAAAAGGAAGCTGTAACAAAAGAATATGCCCTGCTCTTTATCCTATCAAAAAAGAAAATGAATGTCTGACATACAGTATTATTTTAAGGGAGGAAAACACTGATGTTCATTAAGTTATAGCATCCATTTCCCACAAAGGTGCAGAACTGAATATGATTATGTCATTGTCTTTGCCTTGTAAGTCAAACTGAGTCAGTTGTGTTATTCTTTCTTTAGATCATGTTATGGATTTGAGTTATGATAGTGCTATGCTTTAAAGCCAAGAGACTCTTTTTGAATAACCACAGGATTTGTTGGCAGCTAAGCAGGAAAATAAATACTACATATCATAAATAACAGAATTTATCCCAAAAGACAATCATCAATGTTGAAAATGCTGCTGTTTCCCTAAAGTTTCCTTTGCTTTGCTTTTATTTTATCGCAAAGGTCACTTAAAACATGACTCAAACCTGACAACCATATTTTTGTCATACTAATATAAGGAGAAATAGATAACAATCGACATCCATAACACACATACATTTTCTCCTACATGCACTTCTTCATTGATGTGCAACACTTAAACTTTGTCATTTGTTTTGGTTTTTTTTAATTTTAAAACACACATATGCCAGGCTTTCTGTTTTTAAATTGGGCAGCATAAATAATGGATGAATATGTCTATTTTGCTAATTGCAGCAAACATGCTTTGGGGAGGGAAAAAAAAATCTTGTTTTACTTAGTGTTTACAATTTAACTATAGTATTTCTTTCTCAGCTGGACAGAAAGAAGTTATCTACCAAGCAACAGCAAACTGTATTTTGCTTCTACCCACAGGTAAGAGTGAGTAATGAGATTTCAGATGATACTGTGCATCTTTTTTTTCAACGTCATTTAGAAACAGAAATAATAGATGAGGCCCAGTATTTCTAAATGCCTGTTAGGGGTTTGATGTGGTACAGATCTACTTATAAAGTTGCAGATTAACTAGTTCAGCCATTACCGATACAGTAAACAGGAAAAACACCATGGAAATATGAAACAACGGCTCATTCTGATATGATAGTTAACAGTTAAGCAAACTCCTCTGTTACCAGAAGACGTGATTATTGGAGTAGATTCCTTGTGGCCTGGCCTTTCCGAACTAATTTCAAATCTGTTTATCAAATTAATCCAAACCTGTATTAGTCAGCTTCTCTTCTCTTTCTCGCCTCTCTCTCACTGTATTGGTTCTGTTGTGACAAATTCCCTTTTATCTGATGGTAGTACAGAAACTGCCATAAACCAGATAATGTTTTTTGACATTCATGACTTCTAGAGTTAGATTTTCAAAGGACTGTAGAAAATTATGACCTGCAGCCATATTTCAACGAATCTGTGGCTAAACTAAAAGGAACTTTTTTCTGTCGCAATGATTGGCCAAACTGCTACCAAACCAGAGCTTGCGGCAGGCAGTCCAGCAGGGACATTGTGATAATGCATTTTAGTAAACAGGAAAATAACACAGGAGACAGGTAAAAATGCTATTTTGATTTATATATGTTTTAAACAAGCAGAAATGAAAGGCAATAGTATAAAATCCTTTAAGAAAAAAAGGATGATAAATAAGCATCTGTAACGTGCATGCTCACACACATACACACACGCAAACTTGGCTCAATGCATCACACAAGAGATGAATTCTTAAGCACAGTAACAGAGGAAATTTACCATAGCTCCAAACATCACTTTGATGGGTGAATTTCCTGTAGTGTATACACTCCAGAGCCATCCACTTAATTGGCATCTAGGGAAAGAAGAGATAATTGAAAGTTAGAAAAAAATAATAAATAAAATAACATTGATAGGTTCTAAACCAAGACATTCAGCACCTTCCGCTCTCTCCCTCTTTGCTATCTGGTAATTAAAAAAAAATACACATACGTCAGGACATAAAAGCTCAGGTGGCTAATACAAAATTGAAGTAAAGAAATCCTCTGCTATAGTTTTGCTCCCAATATCATTCAAGGAGCCCCAGTAGAAACAGTATAGCAATGATTTCCAATTTGTGCAACTCCACTGAATTCAAGTTTTTATTTCAATGTGACTGCATCAGAAAGATAATTTGACCCAATGAAGTTGTTCACCCACATAGCAGAAAGTCAAGTAGGCATTCCACCACCAGTGATGGAAACAATATAAGAATCCAAATAAAAAAGAATAAAATAGAAAAAAAATATAGATTTTTACCTGCAGGTTATGATAAGGCTAGAAATAAAAAGAACCATGTATCTTGTCGATCCTTCTTAGCCCTGGGTTTAATATTTAAGAGCCAAACCATTTGCCCAATATAAAAAGAGACGAGAGAGAAAGCCAAAACAGCATACCCAAGTCCCTGAGAATTTAGGGGACTGGAAAAATAAGCTTTTTCTTTTGGTTCTGACAAGTGTTTGTGAAAACTAAAGCACAAGCATCTTGGCTGTCCTTCAGTGAAGACATTTAATATTGCACTACACTTAAAAGCCTGCACAGAAATTGCAATACTGCAAGGTAATGAGATAATATTATGATAGATCTTAGCTTCTCTTTTTCACAGCTTTTGCATGTGTGAAGTGCCCAGTGCACGAGCTGTCTCTATACACAACTTCCACTGACATCAAATGGACAGTGACTGGAATAGTAATTGCCCTATAGAAGCAGTTTTGGGGTATGCATTGTACCCCACCAAGGGTCACCCTATTTTGGAATTACTGAACATGTGGTTTTAAAAACAAAGCACCAGATAAACCCATAGCTACAAGTGATCTGGTAAAAAATGAATGGATGGCAGGTGTATAAAGCAGCGATTGGGCCCTCATTCAAATTCTTAGGAAAATATCCTGTATGTAGTTGACTAGAATATAGTTATCTGTGTGGCAGGGATATAATTCGCTCTTAAATTGTATAGGTTGGTTTAATGCTTCTACTGAAGGGATATCCCCCTCTAATAAATCCTGGAGAACCTATTCTATTTCTGTACAAGTCCATTGGCTTCATTTCTATGAAAGTCTGTTGGACTTTTCCAGGCAGGAACAGTTTCTACAGCAGAGCTGTTTTATTCATCAGGTCCCAAAGCCCACTTAGCAAACTGATAATACAGATTTAAAATGCAAATGACTTCAGAGTTTGAAGCAACACTTCACAGAAGCAATGCAATGACATTTCTGATGCTAAATCCTACTTCAGGATTACCAGCAGTAATTTGGTCCAATAAATCCAAGGTGCTATCCCAGATCTGACCAGAGAAGAGTCAAGCTATGAAGACCATCTCTTCCTTTGCCATTCACTGGCCTATGAAGGAAGGGGTGGAAGAGAGGCAGAAGGGGGTGCTGTAGAGGAACTGGAGGAGTCAGGGAAGACAGCCAAAGCTCCACCCTCATTTCTGGAAAGTCCCTACAGTGCTGGGGAGTGGAGAAAGCAGCTGCTGACTCCTTTGAAGCTTCTTGCCTCACCAACTGTCTCCCTGTTATCCCTCGCCTCACAATTCCTGTGTGGTCCATGGAGCAGCTGGCCACAGCAACAGCACATTTAGGACAGAAGCCATCAAGCCAGGGAAATAACAAATAATGATAGCAGCTTCTTTCTTTTACTACTGTAAGTAAACAGAGAAAAAGAAGTAAAGCAAAGAGTGGGACAAGGCAAGAACGAATTTGGAAGAGACTCAGTATCACCAGAGACACCTCCAACAAGGTGATAGGAAAGGTTAGTGTGGGTTAACAGATATTCTGATTGGAGTATTTCAAAGATCCCTAAGTAGTGTCTGTGTGGAAATAATGTTTGGAACCACTTGAATATTGCTGCACATCTGTTTGGGTGCATTTAGAAAGTCCTGATACTGTAATCCTTTTTAAGGACCAGTATAGAATAAAAATTACTGGGATGCTCTGATAAATAATATGGGCAGATTAGTAGAAAATATCCCAAATACATTAGTTCAAAATATCTGTTTTATTGACATGTGGTGGATGTACTCAAGGCCATGATACGTAGCATCCTTCTGGAGATATCTTGGGCAAGTATTGGCAATATAACAAGGCACTAACAAGTAGAGTGCACAGAGTCTTTTATTTTGAGCCAACAGCCAGATTTTTGGAAAGCATATGTAAAAACTTAATGGGCAGGCTATAAACAAACATCTTCTGCAGCTTTCCATTGTGCCTGCTGGAACGAATTGTGTCTAGGAAAATGGACTCATAGTATAGAGTGAAGAAGAGCGAGTGTCATTCCCTACATGAATTTTTAGACAGACATTTTCACTGCAGTCAAGATAAGCAGGAAAATGGAAGATACAAGGACAAAAACAGGTCCTAATAATGAAAGCTGTTCAATTCTTGTTTAGTTGAATTTGTGATGAAACAATCTCTCCACCTGCAGAGAGGTTCAGTTAACAGAAGTGAACAGCTTTTATGACCAAGGCCTGTGTCTCAGCAGACATTGGGTCTACAAGAACTGTATATTTTATCTTACGTGGCTGCTAGACTCCCTAGGATGGTTAGTCCGTATAGGTGTATCAGTGTAACTTCACTGATATTAATGCCTTTAAAATGATGTGACAGAGTGAAGACTCTGTCAAAACTACCTTTTATAGCACTGAAACTGGCTAATATTTACAAAAATAGGATCTTAAACTTTGTCTCCAAAATTCACATTTAACAGCTTCCGCTAAGGTTTCATAGTTTCATAGTAGGTCAGGAGGAACCTGAACAGATCATCTAGCCTGACCCACTACCACAGGCAGGAATGACTGCTGGGTTCACAAGACCCCAGACAGGTGATCATCCAACATCCTCTTGAATTTGCCCAAGGTAGGGGTGAGGACCACTTCCCTGGGAAGTTGGTTCTGGATTTTGGCCACCCTAACTGTAAAATATTGCCTTCTGATCTCTAACCTAAACCTATTCTCCATCAGCTTATTACCATTGTTCCTTGTCACCCCAGGTGGTGCTGGGGAGAAAAGGGCTCT